CATGTAGGGTGTCCCCAGGTTGCACACAGCGTTTCAAAGTATCAGCGCCGTATGAAGCCCAGGATCAGTGTGGGAGCCAGCTGACTCGGGGCTCCATGCGGTGCTGCCGCTTTGAAATGCTGTGTGCAGCCTGACGCTGAGCTCCCTGTGGTGTTTCAAAGTGGCAATGCCACATGGAGCTACAACCCTAGGACTATTGCTACACATCAAAGGCAGAGGCGCCCTATCGACTAATCGAATAGTCGATGCAAAGTGCATCGACTATTCGATTAGTCAGTTACTCAATATTTAACATTTCTAACCATAACACAATTTGCGAAAACATGTTTGGCTGATGAGGCAGATCATGGTGTCTGAAACAGTCATGTGGTTGAGGGACATATACGCAGAACACATCACAGGACACCAACAGTACCAAGATGAATAAACAGGACATTACTGACAAGGGCCACAGTTAGGGAAGTAGCCCAAATTCTTCCTGCAGAGAGCCCACTCCAGAAACTGAAGGACAGTGGAACAGTCCTTACCCATTTACATATCTGCTTACTAGGGATGTTAAAATAAGTATTTTTGTAAACATGTAACCACTGAAATTGGGAAGGAGGGAGACGGTGCTTGCAGAAAGATGGCTTTTAAGCTGGCCTGAGCCCCAGCTCCTGCCTACTCCCTCTTCCCCACGCAAAGGCAGCAGTAGAGGGAGGAGTTGGGGCTAGCGGCTTTGTGGGGGCCAGCTTGAAAGTAGGCTTCCTGCATGTACCGGTTCCCACCTGCCCCTCCTCCTGTGCTGCTGCCTCTGTATCAAAGGTAGCAGCATGGGGGGCAGGTGGCTCAGCAAGAGCCAGCTTAAAAGCCAGCTCCCCACATGCACTGGCTCCTTCCTTTCTCCTCCCCCACACCCTGCTTCCTTTGATACATGATTAACCGATTAGCCCGGGCTTATTGCTTAACCTTGTATACAGGGACACACATTAACATCCCTACTGCTTACCACAACCAATTGCATAACATTTCCAATGGGTGATGCACTTATTCCCTACTATCTAAAAACTTGCATACCTAACTCTGGATCAATGCTGGTCATGTACCATACATGTCTTGTGATTTTCAAAGTCAGACCCCAGATGTACAGAGCCTTTCCTCTTAACCTGTTCATTTTGATTTCAAACATTTATCTGCTGCTCTTTTTCAGGTGAGGATGAGTTTTCCTATGGCTATGATGGACGAGGATTAAAGGCTGAAAATGGGCAGTTTGAGGAGTTTGGTCAGCCCTTTGGGGAGAATGATGTGATCAGCTGCTTTGCTGTAAGTACTCGAGATAAAACCTGTGGTAGACATTTCAGAGGCAGGAGGGAGGAAGTTTTCTATCCTTGCATCAAAATGTGTTAACATAAGATAGTCCATTCCTCTCCTGTGTGTAAGGAAACAGCTGTATACTTTCTGCAAACAGGAAGACAGTCTTGAAATGTCTCTCTGGTATGTTTCTGATTGACTGCATTAGATTGGACAACAATAAGCCTGGAAGTGGCTTTCCTCCTGTTTGTGCTGGAGCCTGTTAGGAGATGGTTTTGGAGGAAAGATGGTGGAGGCAAAATAGTGGCCAACCCTCAAAGCTTCTGATCTCAGGATTCTTGTGTTCTTTGTTGTCACAGAACTTTGAGAGTGAAGAGGTGGAGCTGTCCTTTTCCAAGAATGGGGAAGATCTGGGAGTAGCCTTCCAGATCATTAAAGAATCTCTGGGTGAGAGAGCCCTCTTGCCACATGTGCTGTGCAAAAACTGTGTGGTTGAATTGAACTTCGGTCAGAAGGAGGAGCCCTTCTTCCCAATTCGTGAGGAATATGTGTTCATCCATGCCATTCCAGTTGAAGATCGAGTGCGCACACCTCTTCCACCAAAAACCACAGAGGAATGTGAGGTAATGGGGTTCGTTTCAGACAGACTTAGTTACTGCTTGTAAGGAGTAATCATGGCTGAGAGTTAGTGGTTGCAAGCATATGGGCCTGTTTTTTAAAGGAATACCTGAAATATATGTGGAAAGAGCCATTCCTGGCAAGTTATAGTGTTGACTTTAACTGTTTCTCCTCAGAGCTACTTAATCATTTCAGCTCTTCCTCTAATCTCTGTGGGTGTGTCTAGACTGCAGGCTTTTTTCGAAAAAATCTTTACCTGCGTCTAGACTGCTGCCGTGTTCTTTCGAAAGTAAATCGAAAGAACGTAGCAGGTTTTTTGACCGTGGTAAACCTCGTTTTATGAGGAATAACGCCTTTTTTCGAAAATGCTCTTTCGAAAAAAAGGCACTATGAAAAAAGCAAACTGTGCTTTTTTGAAAGAGAGCATCGAGACTGCCTGGGTGCTCTTTCGAAAAAGTGGCTTGCTTTTTCGAATGTACTGGTTGTAGTCTAGACGCTCTTTTTCGAAAGAGGCTTTTTCGAAAGTATCTTTCAAAAAAGGCTTGCAGTCTAGACGTAGCCTGTGTGATGTTTATTGCAGGTACTGCTGATGGTTGGACTGCCAGGGTCTGGAAAGACCCAGTGGGCACAGAAGTACACCCAGGACAATCAAGAGAAACGATACAACATCTTGGGAACAGAGACTGTTCTTTACCAAATGAGGGTAAGCCCTTCCATTGGGTAGAGCCCTTCCAGGACTGAGTTGGCAGGACGGTCCTAAAAAATATAGTAGCTTTATCTTCCATTGCCAGTGTTCTGCTATAAATGTGGCATTGCAGAAAATTGCTTAGTGGAGTAGTAAGGGGACGGGATTCCTCTGATAGCAGCAAAAAGGAGTGGGTTTTCCCCTCTTTTGAAATCAGTCTGTATATGATTCTAGGGTGAAGACAGCTAGTGACCAAGCTGTGGCAATTATGTTCTGGTTTATGTGACACCTTTTATGGGGCACCAGTGCTAGAGAGGGGTGACCACAGGATTGGTTGTACACTGTATCTAAAGAATCTTATTGATGTTCCTTGTTCCTCTTGCCAGACAAAGGGCCTTGAAGAAGAAGAAGTAGATCCCAAGAGCCGAGACCTGTTAATCCAGCAAGCTGCCCAGTGCCTTAGCAAGCTGGTTCAGATTGCTCCCAGGGCAAAGAGAAACTACATTCTTGATCAGGTATTGTTACTAACCCCCAGGAACTTCCTTTCCTGAGCCGATTTGACTTCAAGGCAAGATGAGTTGAGTAGTGGCAGATAAATTTCTGAAACCTGTTTCTTTTCTCCCCCCTCAGTGTAATGTGTATAACTCTGGTCAGCGACGGAAGCTGCTTGCTTTCAAGGGTTTCTCTCGCAAGGTGATCGTGATTGTTCCCAACGAAGAAGACTGGAAGAAGAGGCTGGAATTGAGGAAAGAGGTTGAGGGGGAGGATGTGCCTGAATCAGTGATGCTGGAAATGAAAGGTAGACTGGTTCAACCAAGCCTGTTGCATTGTGCTGCAGCATCTCTAACAATCCTTAAATAATTCAGAGAAACTAGCTCTTTCCAGACTATCCTGGGCAGTGGTAGGCGCTGAGGTACTCCTTCTGGGTGATGGGGTAGGAAGTGTGTTAACCTCTCGAATCTCTTTTTTGCTGGGAAGTAGGGTCTCAAGCCACTGAAAGTTGCCTTGATATTGTGAATTCTCTTGCTGTTTTCATTTTAACACAGCTAACTTCTCACTTCCGGAGAAGAGTGATTACTTAGATGAGGTGATGTATGAAGAGCTGGTGAAAGAGGAGGCCCAGCCACTGGTCACCAAATACAAGGAGGAGGCCAGAAAACTGCTCCCTCCATCTGAGAAACGGGCAAACCGTCGCAATAATCGCAACAAACGCAACCGTCAGAACCGCAACCGAGGCCAGGGATATGGTGAGGCTCTGCAGGGCCTAGGCAGCATTGCCTCTCTGGTCTCTTTTGTGTCTAAAGGCTCCTTATGCCATATTCTCTTGATGTCAAGGCAATGTGTAAGGATTCTACTCCCTAGGTGTGGAAGAAGGGAATTGGGTCACCAAGTGCAGGCCTCAGCAAGACAGCAGAACTTTCTTTCCACTCTAGCTTCTAGTTCTTCTCTCAAGCACCTTCTTGCCTAGTTAACCTTATGGTTTAACTTGCATTTCCTTATTCAGAGCCAAATTGTTCTTGTGCTAACAGAGGGCTGCAGTTTTCAGAAACATTTGCCTTTCAATGAAATTTGAGCTACCTCCAGGTCCTTAATTCTTACTGTCATGGTAGAAGTAACCATCTAAAACCTGTATTATACAGAGTGCTCTGTTCCCATAAGCAGGGCTTGACAAACGGCGGCGAAATCTACTCACCAGCCCCGCACTGCACATGCGCAAGACCCGCATTGCACATGTGCGCGCCGCCGGTGAACGGGGCAACCGGCTGAAATCTACTTGCCATGGGCGAGTAGAAATAGCGATTTGTCGAGCCCTGCCTGTAAGCTTTTGTTACCCTCACTGGTGACACATTTTTCTTAATTTGCATGTATCCTTTCTACCTGAGGCTTTGTTTTTAGTCTTAAATGTGCATTATTTTGCTGCAGCCAACATGACAATGATGTAAGCCCTTGTCTCAACTCCCTAGACTCCTGCTTGGAGACAGCTTACCCTAGCTACCTTATTTATCTGAATTGAGTCTCATTCTATCGCACCATCTTTCACCTTTCAGAATATCCTGCAGTTTCACTTTCCCTCTGCTTTTCACTGCCAACAATTCTAACTCTTTCAGTATCCCTGACAGATAACACCAATGCATGTTTTATTTCCTGTAGGTTATCGATATCTGTATTAATTAGTTCTGGTCATGCTGTAGACTGTGGGATGTTATTCCACTACTGTTTAACCTCTGTTTAGGGTGTGTTGTCTGTCTCATGCTATGCTCTTCCTTTCCAAACCCCATTCTTTTACTTTGTTGGAGAGATGCTGAGATTGAGATAAGTGGGGCTGCTGCTGGATTTTCTCTCCCCTATAACTTCATTGGAGGGTGTGAAATATGGTACTGTTTCATTAAACCTAGTCTAGCTGCCTTCTGTAATGAACATTTGCTGCTCTCACTCCCCAGAAGTGAAACACACAACCTGGAGGCAGTTACTGTGCAGAGCTGTAATTAGAAAGTCTCTGACAAGCTGTTTTTTGGCTTCTGCCATCATGAGATTGCAAGTCATGGGGCAATGCAGGAACAGCTTGACTCTTGCTGATGTTTAGGAGGTAGTGCATCTGTAGCACTGACGGATCTTGCTTGTTTCCTTTCTAGTTGGTGGGCAGCGCCGAGGTTATGACAATCGATCTTATGGGCAGCAGCAGTACTGGGGGCAGCCTGGAAACAGAGGAGTGAGTGCAATAGTTCTGACTACTTCATATCAGACTCGAGCAGGGGGTATGATGGCCATCGTTGATTTTTCTCAACAGGGAAAAGAGGGCGTTTTTGGGGTGATTCTTGCACCATTTTCTTCCCAAGAGGAGGAAGAGAGGATGATAATACTAGCTCTTGTATGGTGCTTTTTGTCCATAGATCTCAAAGTACTTTACAAAGGAGGCCAGAAGCACAGAGAGGAAAGTGACCTTGCCCAAGGACTCCCAGCAGGCCAGTGGCAAAGCCAGGAATGGAACCCAGATGTCCTGAGTCTCAATCCAGTGTTCTAGTCTCTAGGCCACACTACCTCCCATGAGATGGAGATTTAAAAAAAAATGTAACGTCTGTACTGATAATGAGTTCTTCCTGCTAGACTTGGGAACCTTTGCACCATGCCTAAACTTTTAAGTCAGATTATTGGCAACCACCATCTGCCTGAAAATAGCCATGTGCTTCATCCTGGTGGTTGCCTGAACCTAGGTGTTCTAGTCCTAGTTGCCCCTTTTTTTTTTGCTGTTTTCCCCCTTGAGACAGGGATATGCACCCACCTCTGTGTGAAATGCTTTGAGAGGTTTGGGTAGCTGAAAGAGAGACTGTACAGCTGAAAGAATTACTGGAGGATATGAGGTGTTTCCATAGGATGGGGTTCTGTTTACTACAAGGCCGTATTTTTCTACAGGGTACGTTGTTAGATGTGCTTAGCTAACAATCTCTATTATCATAGGGTTACCGTAATTTCTATGACCGGTACAGAGGGGATTATGATCGATTCTATGGACGCGAGTATGACTACAACAGATACCGAGATTACTACAGGCAGTACAACCGGGAGGTGAGTGGCCACACTCCACAGGGCAGTAATAATTCTAGGAGGGGCTTCTCAACCTTTAAGTGTGTGTCTGTGGACACCTCAGTTCCCATTTGTTACCGTGATAGTCCACCTGTAGAAGTATCATCCTAGTATCCCTGTAGCAACTGTAGCAACTTTCCACGTGGAAGAGTGAGCAGTTTGGAAGCAAGCAGGTTAAGCCACAGTAGCGTGCTCCCAGTTGAAAGCTGTTGTCTTAGGACATTTGTGGAAGAGGACTTGGGCTGGGTGGAAGCTATAGTTGCATGGTTATAATGGGAACTTGACTTTTCCAGCACAGCGCCCCTAAATACAAGCTATTTGTTTTCCGTCCAGTGGCAGAACTACTACCAAGACAGAGACCGATACTACAGGAACTACTACGGATACCAAGGATATCGGTGAAATCCCAGCCGTCTTCACCCTTCAGCCAAGAAGCTGAATGTGCGGAGGTGTCTGCCACTTCCACAAACACGGGGGAGAGCGGCGGCGGGGGGGAGGGGTGGGAGGAGGAAAAAAAAACCTGTAAATTTTTTTTAAAAAAAGTTTGTTGAAAAGAATATTGTCTTATTCTATAAAACATTTCAAACCTAGTTAGATATTTGTAATCAGAATGTTTGCGCAGAGAGTGCAGCACTTAGTGCTGCCTGGCCTGTACCCTGTGATTGGGCAGGAAAACCACATACCCTTTAACAACTTTCTAGAGCAGCTGGACTGGCAGCTGGGCAGTGAGGTGCAGGGTTTGCGAGATGCGCTCAGTGATGAGAATTGAACATGTAAGAACAGGGAGGTACAGATGAGTGAGAATAGAGGGGCCAGCGTCCCCTGGGGTGAGAGGGAGGATTGGGAGGCAGGCAATATTAATTGATCATTCACTTGCAAAACTGATTTTCTTCCAGATTATCATTTGCTGATCTAGCTTTAGGGTGATGTGTGGGGCTCTTCCCACAGTGATTCTGAAGACTTGTTGCTCTTCAGTAACTGGTGGAGAAAGGATCGTTTCCACCTTGGAAAATCTGGCAGAGTTCAACGTTCCTGCTGTTGTCTTGTCTGACACTGCTGTGCTGGCTGGATGTAACATATCCCTGGCCAAAGCCTGTGATTTTTTTAGTCAAGCAGTTTGCTTTACACACACACACTTCCCCCTCTCCCATCCCAGCAAGTAAATTTCCCCGAAAGCTTGTAAGTTGAATCATGAGCTGGTTTTTTTTGACAGAAGGAAGCACAGGAATTTGGTTTGCCAGTCCCTAAATTCTCGTTCTTCCTTGGCCAAAGCAGACTGTCTCGGCGAGACTCTCCTGTCCCCTTCCCCACCCCCAGGCTAGCAGGCTTGGCCAGGTGCTAAATCATCTCTGTATAGTGTCTGTCCTCTTTAGTGGAAGAGAAGGAACATTTCTCAGGGTTTCTGCTGGATCTTTTCTTCATTAGAGCGTAATGTGTGTATATAGGCAACCCATGCAGTGTATCTCCTTCACCTGTGAAGAGATGGTGCTGAAAATAGCAACAATTTTATACCGTAAGAAGAGGGCACAATTGGTAACGTGCTCCTGTGGTTTTGATAAACTGGTAGAGCGTGTATATAGGAAACTAGGGAAGGCGATTGAGTGCAGTAGCGAACCAGCCTGAAGTGGGTGGGTGTGTGTGTGTGTGTCCCACCCTCCCCATGGTTTGAAAATAATAAGGTTTTGACTTTGACACATGCTGTGAAGTCTAGTCCCAGAAGAGGGGAGGGGGGTTCCTGAGGACACTGCATGAAGGAGGATTCCCTTCAGTGCTTAGGGTGTACTCCAATATAAAATTTGGGTTGTCCTCAGTCTTCAGAATTTTTGTAAGATTTGGTGGGAGGAGAGGGCATAATTTCAGAAATAACCTTTCCCAGACAATAGTGTGTGTGGGGGAAGGGAGTAGCTACTTCTGTAAGGATGTGCATTCATGGCAGAAGTGGATGTGGCTGGCTTGTATCTTGTAGGGGGGAGGGCTGATTTATTTTCCCATTATGAGATTTAGCATTGATCTTTTTTTTTTTTTTTTTTTCATTCTTGTTAGTTTGTCTCCTGCCCTGTGATTCTTCCTCCATCCATCTTTCCCAGTGAGGACAGAATACCCTCTTAGGAATTGAATTGTAAATACTCTTGGTTCTGGTCCTATAGCCTTGGATTTGGCTAGGGAGCTAATTATGTCCAATCCTCCAGTTCCTTTCCCTTCTACAGCTTGAAAATTACCTTCTCCCTGTGATTTGTTTGAAATACAAACATTTTAATTTGTTTTAAAAATTGAATTTTTTTATTCTTTGCCTAACATTGCAAGCTGCCCTGTCTCCAGTGCCCATTGTCACATCCCAGCCCAGACTAAAATCTCCATCCAGACCAAGACATGGTGAGACATGGCTCTGCCAGTGCCAGAGTGCACATGTAACAGGTTGCTGGGATCTCCCAGCCCTGTGCCACTTCCCAATGCAAGAACTAGTGAGAAGCAAAGTTCTGCTGACTCCAGCTGTGGTGCCGCATGTGTGTATCTGAACGTGTGACTGTGTGACGACCGTTTTTATAACAAAGCAACTGGTATTTTAAATGATGCTTCAGGCCACTAGAAAATACTCTTGGGATAGGAGTAGAGGGGAGAAAGCAGGATCCTGCAATAGCTGTGTGCTGGCAAGGGTGTATCAATGCTTTGGTATTTTTAAAAAGTTCCTTCTTGGGGTGTGCTTTCCAATGGGTGGGGCACAGGCAGCCTCCAGTGTACAGATCCTCCACAGCTTCATTGGGTTTGGGGGGACATGGAGTAACTGACACTGGAGCCAGGAAAGCTTAAATCACTTCAGGAGGCGCTGTCATCGTTAACAAAAATAACTTTTGAAGCTATAGTCCTTTTTAAATAAAACCTGTTTTTCTGGGGATGACTAGAACTGCCACATCCTTGTCCGTAAGACCAAGAGATCTTAGCAACTTCAGTAGATGTCTTTTTCTGCACATTTTTGTTAAAAAAAAAGAAAAAAAGAAAAAATTAAATGGTAAACAAGGAAATGCAGCCTGTTTTAGATCTGTTAGTGTTTCATGATTGTATGTCTTAGTTGCTGTAGATGGAAAGCTTGAGAGAACATGAAGGCTGTAAATGTTTTTACAAACTGTAAAACGTTTTGAAGTGGCCAGTAAAAGGGTTTTACCATTGAACATGTAACTGTGTGGTTGTTTACATCTGTAACTTTCCTTCAGATTCTGGCAAATGTAGGCAATAGCTTCCATTTTTAGAATAAATAACCATTGGCTTGACTTAACATCCTTATGTTGCTGCACTGACTTCATAGGTGTCTCTATACTTTGGCTCTTCTTCCCCTCTCCAATAAAATACCCTCAAAAAACAAGGCTAATTTTGCTCTTTTCATAAGACTCCTTTATTCAGATCCCTGGCATTCACTTAAGTCTTCGTTTTGCACAGCAGAGAGCAGGCAATGTCCCTGCTGCTTATTATGGGTCCTAGCATGGAGGAGCCTGCCTTTCCTGTGTGAGGCCCTGGCAACGGTATTGTTAACACACTCATGCTTTCGCTCCATCTGGGTGAGGGAAAATATTCTTGCTCCCTCAGGGTAGGACCCAGGAGCATAGCTGCTGCGTTTTCGCTTCTTTCTCTTAAGAAACCTTGTGCTGGGGGAGGGGTTAATTTGAACCGAAAGGAGGTTGGGGAGGAGGGGGGACGGTGTCATGATGGCCTAGAGCCTAACAGCCCCTTTGCTCTTGCTTGAGGAGCCGTATTCTAAATCTTACCCCCGCTTCTGTTCTCTCCGCTGCAGCATGCGCGCCCTTCTGGGGGGAGGGCGGAATAGTGTCCCCGGTGGCAGCTGGGCCGGAGAATGGAGGCTCGACATCGCCCCGCCCCCTGCAATTCGCTTTGTGGGCTGGGCTGGGGCTTTGATCACGGGCTGGTTCTGAGCACGACTCGCCGCCTGGCTCCAGAGCCGGAGACACCCTTACTTAGCAACTGGGCTGCTCTTTGAAGCCTCACGTGGGTGCTTCCGGGTCCGCGCTCCCTGCCTGGACATGGAGGCAATGGCTTCGCTCCCGGGCGCTGCTCGGCGCAGCAGGAGCTCTGGGCTGCTTCTTCCCGGCCCGAGCCGGACGCAGACTGATGCCCAGGTGCTGGAGGAAGCGCTTGGCCGGCTCAGCGGGACCACTGCTGCCATCACGGCCAACGTGCGACGGATCAATGCAGCGCTGGAAAGGTAATGGGCCGTGGGGCGCTTCCTGGGACGGACTCCTCTTCCCCAGGGCGCTGGAGAGAGGGCAATCCCTGCCTGGGATGCCGCTCTGTGGGACTGGAGATGAAGCAACCGGGATTCCTTGTGAGTCCTGCTTCCCTCCTTCCGATCATTCCCTTGGGGACGGGCAATTCCCCCCCCGTGCTGTTGCTCGTTCCGCGGGAGAAGGGATGCCTCTGAAATGGGCAATACCCCCACCTCAAACTGTCCCAACCTCAGTCCAGTTAATTCCTGGAGTCCCTGTATCCCAAGCTGGGGGGGAGCTGATACTGTTGCTTATTCTTAGGAGGGTGGCAAAAGGTCCTGGATATTGGGGTAGTACTGGCATGGGTGAGTGCTAGGAGAGGGTGCAGGAATGGACTGGAGAGATGATGGGTGCAGGATTGGTTGGTGAGGATTTTGAAGATGGTGGTAGATTTGGGGATGGGCCTGGGGTCCAGGAAAAGGGCATGTCCAGAGTAGGCATGAATACAAGACATGGGGAGCAGACTCGGGTAGTGCCAATAAGATGGACAGAGGCAGTATTTTCCTTTGTCAGGTGCATTACCCATCTAGCCTTAGTCGCCCCCTGTTCTGGGTAGTCCTCTAGATGCAGGGATACTGGGGTAGGGGTCATGCCAGTAATGGAAGCTCTTCTCCCCTTTGCCTAGGATTCTGGAGGATAAAGTGACTGTGGAGGAGCTGGAGCAAATGCTGGTGTGTCAGGGGAGGGGGCCTGAGCGAACAGCATTCACCTCATGCTGCACAGAAACTAACATCCCTGAGGAATGTTTGAGGGCAGGAGTAGGTGCTCCCTGCTGGGGCTCCCCCTCCCAGGGCACTCCCACATACTACAATGAAATACCAGGTTCCTGATTTCATTGGGAAAGCCTCCATTCTAGGTGGCATTTGAGTCTGTGGTGCCTGGTTCCATGAGAGTCCATCATGGAGCCATGTCCCATCTGCTGCAGACACAGGGAGATGGGGGTGGGATGATGACAGGAGTGAGGGGAAGGGCACGATGCGGGGGTGAATGAAGAGGCTTCGGGAAAGAACCTTACCAGGTGCACATCTCTGTCCTTCATTTACTCTCAGTCCTCTCTTCCAGAATAGCTTTGAGTCAAAGTAGCTTTGAGATCACACTGAAGAAAACCATGACCACAGCCTTCTGCTTCAAAGAGACATGCCTGGGCCCCATGTCAAAGAGTGGGACCCAAGCTGCTCAAGGATATCCTGGCTTGTTGCCAGCTGGAGATGCTGTCTTCATGAGGACACTACAAACACCTTGGGTGCTGCATGGCACTTCTGCCCCATGATGCTTGCAGATTATGCAGTCACTCTTTGTTCTCACAGATAATAAACATAAGATATGATTTCTGATCTCCAGCTTGCCTGTGAATGTGTCTCCCCCACCACATCATCTGACTCCCCTGCGTACTGTGAATGGTGGGGATCATATTCCTAGTTACTGGAACTAAAGCCACTGGGAGGGGAGGGGAGGGGGGGTGCGTGAGCCTACCATGAGTTTCTGGATCATAGTGGGGAAATGGGGTCTTCTTGGAGAGTGGACTCCTGCGAAGGGAGAGGTCTTGTGGGTGTGTAGAAGGTAGCTCCATTCTGGGTGCTGGAGTAACTGACTGGTATTTTGTCTATTTTGACTGGTTGGTGTGAGTTACCTGTTCCCAAACTCCACAGTCTGTGAGCCTGTTACAGGCCCAGTTAGGGAGCCTGCCTCTTTAGCTCAAGCTGTAGCAGCTTATGTTTTCAGCTGGGGAGGTCCCAATTCAATCCGTGCAGGGTTTGCCTCCTGTACATCCTGTGTTCAGGTACCAGTGCCTTGGGGAGAAGGTTCAGAGAGAGGATTGTGAGGGGCTGGAGCTGGAACAAAGATTGTGTGACATGACCAGGCATTGATCCAGGGGGCTGCCATCTTAGTTTCTGGGACAGGACCTTAGCTGTATGCTGCCATCTTGAATACTGGAATAGAAGCTTTCCAGGCGGCAGCCATTTTAGATCGTGTAATTAGAAGCGGCCTAAGGAGTTGCCGCATTTGATCCTGGATTGAGCGAGTCAAGGGGCTGCCCTCTTGAGCCCTGGAATGGAAGCCGCCTCAAGTGCCGCTTGCAGGGTAGGAATATATGCGCGCGCGCGCGCGCACTGCTCGCAATGGATGAAACTCCGGGCGCCGCCACGTTGGCTCCGGGCGCTGAAGCTAGCTTGGGCGCCGCCACGTTCCCCTGTGCCTGGCAGGTTAGAGGTTGCACATGGTCGGGGGCAGAGGGCGCGGAGTCGGGCCGGGGCCAGCAGAATGGGGAGGGAGCGGGAGGGAAGCGGTCCCGGCTGGCGGCGCACTGGGGGGACAAGGAAGGGGAAGGTGGTGGATCTGCTGGCCATGGACGCTGATCTGGTGCGTAGGGGCCAAGTGAGAGCAGGCGCGGAGTCAGGAGAGGGGTTCCCGGGGAGGGCGAGCTTACTGCGGGGGCAGCTTCTGAGATCCAGCGCCCTTCCTGATCGGCCTCTCCCTGCAAGGCGGGGACAACGCGGGTCACACCGTGGTGGTGGGGCTGGTGGAGTACGATTTCCAGGTGCTGCCGAACCACAGCGAGGTCACAGCCGTGCCACCTCCTTCCTCGGTGAGTGACCCTATGTACGCTGACATCTGCCCGCACCTCCATCCTGACACCCAGCTTCCTTCCTTGGTGAGTGACCATGTGTACTCCAGTATACCCCTGTACTGGAATGATCTCTGTGTGCCCCAGTATCCGTAAAACTCCTTCAGTGAATGACCCCCAGGGAGACTAATAGCTCTCTGGATCCCTGCCACCAACTCCCCCATCTTCACTGTGTGATGAGCAACCTCCAATGAACTCCAATGTCCTCTTGCATCCTCTCCCCAATACTCCATCTCCTTTTCAATGAGTGACCATGTTTACCCCAATATCCTTTTGCATCCTTTCCTTCAACAGCCCCACTTCCATAGGTGAGTGATCTGACCCATGTTTTCCAGCATCCTCCTGTTTTTCTACCCCCAAGTACAGTACTCATCTGGCTCCTCAGCTGCCATGCCACCTCCTTCACTCATGAGAGCCCACCCTGTACCCCAGTATCCCCACTCCAATATTTCCCACTTGGTGCCTAGAAGGGTTCCAAACTGCCATGCCTCCTGCCACCATCACCAGTGGAAAACCTCCCCATATCTCCGTTTGCTACTCCCCATCTTCCTCATAGTCCTGTGTGGGCTTGAATTGCTGTTCTACCTCCTCATCACTGAGTGATGTTCCCCACCTGTAAATATCCCTTATCCCTCTGCATCCCCATCCTGACTCTCAACACCCCTCCTCCCTTAGTGCTCTGCACCGTCTTGACATGCAGTGCAGTCTCCCCACTCCACATCTCTGCTATACCCTTTGCCTCTCACTCAGCCCTCTGCACTTCAGGCTGTGATCCTGCTGCTGAGTCTGTCCAGGGAACGGAGTGGTCATCCACCTCCCAGGACTCTCTGAAGAAGCTGAAAAGAACCTTAAGAAAGGGCCTGGTGAGGGAGGACCCCTGCCAGGGGGTGGCAGAGTTGGGGTGGCAGGAATCCTGGGTTCTGTCCCCAACTCTGGGAGGGCAGTGGGGTCTAGTAAGTTAGAGTTGGGGTGGGAGTCAGAACTCTGGGCTCTATCCTTCCCTTCCCTTCCCTTGGTTACATAAAGGCATGGTAAATAAATTCCAGTTCCCACTCTTGATATTAGGGCTGTCACACCTGGCCAACCTTCCCACAGTAGTGTGTTTTCCTTCTCTCGAGGGCTGGGAGTCAGGCACAGAGATCTGATAGAGCTCACATAGGTGAGTCCAGAGTAGCCAGCAGGGGGCGCCAGCTGCACC